AACTTACGGAACTCTCAGGAGGAACCTCTGGTGCCTAGTTATGAAAGCTGTTGGTCTGCCACCTATCTGATCACGGTGGGACACCTAGTCCTAAAGTACACCTGGCCACTCAAGGGGTCACACCTTGTGGCGTATCCACGTTGTCTTTGTTCCCTTAGTTTAACATCACTTCTGTGTATTTGATTCATTTTAGTACAGCAGATGATCAAAATAAAGAAGATTTCAGGTTTCATTTATATATTCACATCTGCTTATGATTCCTCTCCGGTAAGTCCGTACTGTCAGAGTATGATGGAAATGTTGAATAAGTAATGTGAAATAAATGAACTTAAAATTGTTAACTTATGTGTCTTATACATACCCGATACTTTCCAAAATGGCGATTTCTGTGGTCAAGACAAATTGGTATGTGGTCCCATACACAAAAGCAGCTTCCATGACTGCTCTGTGCTCTAAGGAGGAGAGACGGGAGATGGGAGAGAGGCCGAGTTAGTTGGTGTGACTCTCTTCTGAATCCTGCCCCACACACATTTATGCTCTGTTATGTTTAAAGAAAAGTCCTTTGTAGGGATCCCAGCTGGGAAAATGCAGGCAGTTAAAGAAGTTATAAAAAAAAGTCTGTTCTATTCAAGGTCAGAGAAGAATTAAGAGGGAGCAGAAAATGAATTCGACTTCAGAATGTATGACAAATCTGTTAGAGCTTCTTCCCAGCAGAAGGGAAGAGAATATGAATTCCCCATACAACTTTCATATGTTATATTTGATGTACGAAAATGCCTGTGTACTATTTCTGTCTAATTCTGTAATTTTTAATCAAACTTATACATGGTTTAAAGAGACAATTCTACAGGGTATATTAAGAAAAGCAACAGTTCCTCTGCCCTCGACCCTACTTCCAGTTCCCAAGGGACAACTTCTTTCAACTCTTTCACTCTTTCCTTTGGTATTTACATCCAAGTCTCTAAATGACATTCTTACACTCTTCATCTCCTGATTTTTCTTTTTAGGGTTAATATTATCTCTTGACATCCCACTACGGAAGATAAATTAGCTCTCTTTTCCGAAACCCCACTCACTAATGTACATAATCCTATCCCCTCAACTCTGGCCAATATCTCCTAATTTTTATTAGATCAATAGTCAGTATTTGTACTGCTATAATTCAGGAAGTACTATTAACAAATGAGCCATACAGTACAAAATGAACACATTTCCCTTTTTTTCACTATTGTTTTCACAATGTTTATTTTTCTTTAGATTTCTTCCTAATGGATTCCTAAATTCTCCCACAGCTGTCTAGTCCTCTCAGTGCTTCAAATACATCAGGTACACTATCAGTTCCTTCTTGTGGCAGAGATTTCTGCAGAGTCTCCTGACTTGCTCCACTGTGGACTCTGATACTTTCATCTTGGGAACTCACTTCCTCATCATCCTGCGGTTCTCTTACTCTTGCTCTTTTGTTGGGTCCCTTGGCCTGTTACCCACATCTTCTTGATCAGTTTGTTCCCTTGCCCCTGTTCTCTAGCACCTGCCTGGGAGAGGATATATGGAATACACATTTTTTGTGACCTTATACTTCTCAAAGTGTCTTCATTCCACTTTCATAACGAACTACAGCTGTCGGCATACAGAATTCTAGGTTCAAGTCATTTCCACTGAGAATTTTGAAGGCATTGCTCCATTTCCTTCAGTTCCCAGGGCTGCAGTCGAGAAGTCCCAGGCCATTCCGATTCTTGACCCTTTAACTGCAGTATATTTTGCCTTCTGGAAGACTGTAGAGTAGTGTTTGTTCCCAATACTCTTAAATTTCCTTTTCATATCTCACTTTCCCTTTTCTCCTCACTGTCATTTCCAGGTAGTTATCTTCCCCTCCCCGACCTTACTTTCTACTACTTGGATCACATACCATCAGACTTTTCTACTCACTACTCTGCCTTGTTGGAGTCATCTACCACCTCACTCTTTTCACAAAAAATTTAGCTTCTGTCACACTGTCATGCTCTTCAATATTACTCCTGTCATAATCCTTGGCTATTTTACTATCCCCATAGATAATCCTTGCAAAATCCAGACCCTTCAGTCCTTAGTCTTCTCAAGACACTCCAATGATCTCTCATCAGCCCTACCTTAACCACTCTCTGCTCTGATCCCAGTCCAGGGCTTATAATTACCAATCAGTGCAAATTCCTCCAAAATCTCAATGTCTACCACCCTCCCCCTCAACACACACACACATACACACAAACACACACACACACACACATACACCCTTCCATCTCCAGGTCACTCTGCCTAGTACCTAACTTCAACCTTTCAGGACCTACAATCCTACCATTTTTACTGTCCTTTACCCACCTCAGGTCCTCTCTTCCCTCCTCACCCAGCTTAAATCCCATGGTCAATCTTTATAATCACTTCCCTGCCTGTTTGGCTAAAACACAATCCAGGTTAAATCAAATAATCTCTTCTGTACTTACATCCATAAAAGTGAATATGGCTGGAAAAAAGGAAAGAAAACAAAAACCTGCTAGCATCACCATGCGAATGACCTCACTTCAGATTTCTGGCATCAGCTATTACTGCTGCCTAGCAACCATTCTTTATTCTCAGGCCTTCTGAAACAACTGTCTCATCACTCCTCTCCTCAGACTATCTGATGACTTGATTTCTATGTCATTGAGAAAACAGAACCAATTAAGAAAGCAAAACCAAAACAGCCCCCAGCACCATATCCATCTACCCACTTAACTGATGCTATAGTCTGTCTCCCCTTCTAATACCATAGCTGAATTTTCTGTGCTCCCCATAAAGAACTACCTCTCCTCTTGTTCACCAGATTCCATCTCCTCTTGTCTACTCAAAGATGTCGCTCCAATGATTCGCCCCTCTTTTTCCTCCATTGATGCATTTCCCTTTTTCTACGGGATCTTTCTTGTCAACATACAAATAGGCTTCTCAAAAAATTCTTCCCTTGTCTCCATATACTCTTCCAGCCACTACCCCATTTTTCTCCTTCCCTTAGTAGTAAAACTTCTCAAATGAATCTCTCTAGCCACTGTCTCCAGGTTTTCTCTACCTGTTCTCTTCTACCCCAGTAGACACTTACCCCTTCCACTCTACAGAAACTGTGCCCATCAAGGTCACCAATAACCTCTGTATTGCTAAGCATAATGGCCAACTGGTAGTTCTTAATTTGCCTTTCAGCATCATGTCACACAATTGCTCCTATCTCTTCCTTAAAACCCTATCTTCACTTTGCTTACAGGGCACTCCTAGCACACAGGCCATTCCTCTGGCCTCTTTTACTGACCTGTGAATGTTCAAGTATCTAATGAGTTCAGTCTTTTCTTTTCCATCTAGTCTTACTCCCTTCGTGATCTCTTCTGGCCTCACAACTTTATGTCACACATTTATATCCCTAGTCTCTGTCCCCACCGTCAAATGCAGACTAGTAACAGCCAATTACCTTGCGGATATCTCTACTTGGATGTCTACTGGGTATTTCACAAGTGTGATATCCACAAGTGGATCCCAGAGCTCCCTCTCCAAGCTCTTTCCAGTCTTACCCACTTTAGTTATCAGCAATATCACCTTTCAAGTCGCTCGGCCAGAATCCCAGAGCCACCCTGCCTCTATTTCTCTCTCACTCTACAACCAATATGTCAGAAAGTTCAGTCAGTCTTCCATCCAAGCTACCGCTAAAATTCAAATTTATTGCCACTGCCATTGCTAATGCCCGGGTCCAAGCCACCCCCCATCATCTCTTGCCTGCGTGATTACGATAACTTCCTGATTTTCTCCCTTATTCCACTGCTGCTCCTTCCAGTCTATTCTAAACACAGAAGTCAGACTGATCCTGCTAAAATACGGCTCCACTGTGGCAGCGTAAGCCGTCTACGGCTCATCCCTCTCGCTGATTACAATTACACACTGTGGACAAAACACAACAGCCTGAAGGGCCCTGGGAAGAAAGCAGAAAGCAGGCTGGCTGTGGAGTATTATTTTACAGCTGCAGTAAGTCCAGGAGCATGCGGTGTAGCCGTCAAGTTTTACGCAGATAAAAAGAGAAACTTCCAATAAATGACTTAATTTCATAGAGCGTATACAATTTTTAAATGTCTTTAACATTTGATGTTAACATGTTCAAGTTACAGTCACTAACAATAAAAGTCCTGAAAGTATAACTATAAGCTCTTCATAAAACAGTTATAAACTTCTTTATGACAAAACTACATATTAATGCCCCAGGTGCTGCTGTCAAAATTAAGTTTTTAAACAAAATCAAGAAACATGTCATAAACAGCAAACACCAAAATAAAAAGAACGCCAAGTCGGTCAAGAACATTTATCAAATACTATAAACTACTGTATCAGGTACCATGAGGACTGTCAGAAAATAAAAACAGTCATAGCTGACACTTACAGAGCACCTAGTATATGCCAGGAACCATTTTAATTATTCAAATGCACTTGGTCCTCACAATAACACTAACTGGTGGACACAGTTATTTTCACCGTCTCAGTGAGCAGGAAACAGGTTAAATAAATAAGTTGTCCAAGGTCACTTTATAAGCAGTTGGTGGGGCAGGGAGCCTAACCGAGGCCATCTGGCTCCAGAGTTCATGTTCAACCACTATACTATGCTGCCTGTTTGAAGAAAGAAAATATAATAGTAAAAGATGCTTTAAATTTATTTTAAAATGTTAAGATTGTGGTCAAAATACACTATGTAAAGACCTTCAACATGAACACACATGTATGGAGGCAAAGCAAAAATTAAAGTTAAGTGTTAGTAAATACCTGGTGTTCCAATGGCTCTGACGTATGAGAATGCAATGTTTGCTTTTCCTTTCAGAGCATTTTCTATGTTCTGAAGGTCTCCCAGGGTGTTGATATATCTTACTTCATTGAAAAGAAGAGCACTGAAATAAATAGAGATGTAATTGGTAGAAAAATCTGACATGTACTACTTATGTAATACACATTTTGATTAAGTTAAAGGCCCTAATCAAAAGAGAAAGTTCATCTTTTGAACAAATTATCAGCAGTAAGAATCTAAGCATTTCAATACTGAATTAAAATCACTCCTGAAATCATTAGCCTGTCACTCAGAACACTTACGAGAAATAGTGCTCACTCTTCATCACAACCACCTTGACATATTTACACTGTATTTACTAACAACCTATTCTGGCCAAACAATCCCTTACAGATCTCTCAGCTGTGAACACATTTGAGCTCTTCACACATCTAAACGGAATCCTTCGTTTCATGGCCTATAAGGCCCTGCATGGCCTAGACCTTGCCGACTTCTTCAAAATCATTTTGTTCTACCATTCCTCATATCTGCCAAACTTTAGGCAACATCTTAGGGCCTTTGCACACACAGTTCTCTTTGCTGAAAGCCATTCCCTCTGTTTCTTCTCATATGTCTGGTCTCAGCTTACACATCATTGAGTTAGAGAAGCCTTCCCTGTTGATCCTATGTAAGCAGGTCTGTAGTGTTTTCCTCTTCTATTTGATCCTTTGTAGTTCTTATCACAATCTGTAATTATTCATATATATATATAATATATATATATATATTTTTTTTTACTTGTTTATCCCTGCCTGTCTCATTAAACCATTACCTTATTGTGGCGGGGGCCTTGCATATTTTATCACTACATCCATAACTTAGAATAGAACCTAGTATACTGTGAGCAGTCAATAATATTTGTTGAATGAATGATAGAAAACGTAAGGCAGAAATTTTTTATTCCCATTCTTCATGTGAAGAAATAAAGATCAAAACATTGAAGAGCTTATTTATTCAAAAACATATTTACTGAATTGAGGAGCCTGTCTGAGGAGCCAGAAACAGGAACAGAACATAAAACAGGTTTTTTCACTCCTAATTCAGTGATATTTCCACTTGACCTTAATTCTTCCAAATCATCATCTTAATGTATAAATCAGAATAACTGATCATATTCCTTCATCCAAAAGAATCTTCTTTTTAAATTTTCTACTTCTATATAAATTCTCTATCCCCAACAATTCCACCTAATCCTCACATGCATGTTTGTGTGTGTGTGTACATTTGTTAGTATAAATTTTAAGAATTTTTAAAAGTTGTTCCAAGTCCACATACCCTTAAATAAGCAAATGTTCACTCCAGTAAATAAGTCAATCATACTTTTCTCTTAGGGAAAACATAGCACTTCCCATTAATACAGACGTTCTCAAACTTTTTGGTCTCAGGGTCCCTTTATGCCCTTAAAAATTATTGAGCTCCTCAAAGGGCTTTTGTTTATATAGAGTATATCTATTAATAGTTGCCAAAATAGAAATTAAAGTAGCAATTTTAAATATTTGTTATTCTTTTAAAAATAAAAATAAATACCATTGCATATTAACATAACACTTTTTATTTTAAAATAACTAAATTTTCCATATCAAAAGAAAACTCTAATGAAGAGAGTGGCATTGTTTTACATTTCTGCAAATCTCCTTAGCACTGGACTAGAGGGAAGACAGGTGGATTCTTATTTCTGCTTCTTCACTCATTCTGTTGTGACCACACACACAACACGTCATGTAGCCTCTAGAAACTGCACTCATGAAAGAATGAAAGTGAAGTATTATTATAAGAATATTGTGACTTCAGGGGCACCCTGAAATGGTTGCCCTAAATTACACTGGCTTAAATATTTACCTACATATTATTAATTTCTTCAACTTTTTAAAAGAAATCTAAAACTTGAACTTCTACAACTCCCAGGGCTCTTGTTTTGTTTTTAAAAGAAACATTTACTGAGCAGTACTCTCTATTTGCTAGATATTTTCACATGTTTTTGTTTAAATAATCAATGATATTCTTGGGAAGTTCTGTATTATCCAGACACAAAAATACACATACGCACACACACACAGAGGAAAGAGTCTGAGGGATTAACCTGCTTCATACAGGGTCATACGAGGAGTCAATGGTAGAGCTGAGATTCAAATCCAGGTCTTCTGACACTTCGCCCAGAACTTCTTAAACTGTTATTACTGAACACTCATAAATGGTAAACCAGGTAAAAAGGGAGGCAACTAATGAACGGCAGGAGAGTATCAGTGGCTGTCTGGGCTATCGGCTGCTTATACATTTTGGCTAACAAGCAAACTGCGTTACTTCAGAACTGCTGGGAGGCACCACCTACTGAACTTAATTGGACTGCCATGTAAATTCCCGGCTTGGGAATTACATCCATGCATTTACTTTTATTTCCCTAGCAGCTCTAATCCATTTACTTCAAAAATCAAATCTGGGAGTAGAAATCTCCCTAACCTTTTTTCTCAATAAAGACAGGCAAATATAAATTAATAAAAGCCAGTGTTTGGGGGGGGGCACTTCCCACATATCAGGCATAGTACTTAATAAGTAGCGGCAATTTATCAGTTTGGGGACTGCCTGGCTCTTGCGTCCTCTCTTTTGCCTTGGGAATCCTGTTCCCTAAGTCTTCATGGTGGGCAGAGCCCAAGTCCCCTCCTACAAGCTAATAATACTGTAAATTTGCTTTTCCAGGCTCCCTGCTGCTAGGCATGGCTATATGACCCAGAATCACTTGTCTGACATCTTAGCCTGGGATGTAAAGAATCAGGACAGTGCAGAATTATTTCCAGAAGCAGTCAGTAGCAGCAATAGTCAGCTTCGAAGGCAGGAATGACAACAGTGCTCATGACAGCCGCAGTGCAGGCAGCGCCCAGCAGTAATGCAGCAGTCCCCGCGAGATCAGCTCTGTGCCATGACTAGGACTGTAACCCAGAGCTGTGTGAACCTAAGTCTAGTTCACCAACCCTCCTAGTGAGCCTGAGATTTCCTGTGTCTGCTCCAAATCCTTTTCTGCTTAAACCAGTCAGACCCAGATTCTGGGGCTTATCACTAAGAACACCCAGCAATGCACTCAGTCTTGTGTAATTTTCCTGGCAACCATCTGAGATTGGTATCGTCATTAACTCCATTTTACAGATAAGGTCATGGGGCTTAAAGAGGCTACCTTGCCTAATGTCCCAAAGCTCATTAAGGAGTCATTATCCATGAGGTAATAATAACCAGCACTAATGACATTCATAATCTAATGATCTCTGTGATTGTTCCCAGTGGCTTCCTAACTTTAATATATTTTTAAAGTTAATTTCCAGAATATGGGGACATCTAGGGATCCATAGGAGCCATTCCACAAGCCTGTGCTCCTTCACCCCAGTTCCAAAGAGGAGAAAGGGGTTAAAGGAAAAGTCTGTCTTGGGATTTTCCTGCTCTAAAGATGGGATAAAACAGCCTGGGCCTGCTCTGACCTGGGAGCTCTTCTTGCCCCAGAAAGGCCTTCCTATTCCTTGGCATACTTTTCCTGAGACCCTCCTAACACAGCCATTAGGAAGATACATGGCCAAGAACTGACGAGTGTCAGAAAAAAAGGAACTGAAGTATTTACCTGATCCTGCTTTTAGAGCAGCAGGTTGTTCAGCCTTTCTTTTTTTTTTTTTAAAAGACCACTTTTAAAATTATATTTCTCTCATTACTCATACTCTAAAAAAAACCAATGAAAAGGAAATGTTACTTCTATTTTGCCTTACCAAAACCCATAGGACAGAAAAAGGGAGGGGAAAAAAAGAGAGAGAAGAAGAAAGAAGGAGAACACAGGTAGAGAAAGAGGTAAGTTACTTTCATCTAAATTAAAATTACGGTTGACCCTCCATATTCCATGGGTTCCTCATTCAGAGATTCAGCTGATCGCTGATGGAAAATATTCCGGGAAAAAAAAAAAAGCTACGTAGTTTTAAAAAGCAAAACTTGAACTTGCCATCCACTGACAATTATTTACACAGCATTTACATTGTACTAGGTATTATAAATAATCTACAGATGATTTAAAGTATCTGGGAGGGTGTGTATAGGTTATATGCAAATACCACATCATTTTATATATGGAACTTGAGCATCTACAAATTTTGCCATCTATAGGGGGGAGGGGAGGTGTGAGGAGGTACTGAAACCAACCCCCCTCGGATACCAAGGGATGACTATAGATTATGCTAGGCAGGTCCATGTATAAAATGAAGTATCCCAAAATATTTTATTAAGCATTTTCTAAATTAGTATAATTTGAAAAAACAAAACAGAAGTCATCTCTGAAGTGTGAGTACAAGTATAACAAAGTTTGAACGCATCAGCCTTAGCCTTTTTGTCATACGTTGTATATTCTCCTACTAGCTTACCACTTCTTGAGTTCTTATCACCAGAAACAATCTTACGGGCTTAGAACATAAGAACACTTCTGCTCCTCCAATTTTTAACAACCAAAAAGAAGCTTTCCAATTCATTCATCCACCAATCCAGTATTTTTTGAACACCTAATATATGCCATGCACGATGCTACACACAGGCAGGACTCTGTATAAGAGAGCACGGTTTGGGGATATAACCATTACTACCAACTGACTTGGAGCTGTGAGGAATTCAAATCCAAGACAAGTCATTTTTTTATTAAAATTTCCCAGTATGTCACTATCAACCAAGAACCCACCTGATAATATTGTATAGGAACAAACCTGACAGAGATAAAAGAATGAGCAGTAGCTCAAAGCCTATCAGGAAGGGACCAGCATGGGCACAATCAGGGGCTTGGGAGGAAGAGGAGCCTTCCTCAGAGGTGCTACAGTAACATCACCCAAAGGTTCAATACCCGGGCTCCGCAGTAATGTGTTAAAAATAAAATATTAGCAGAACCTATGACAGGTGAAAATAATTCCCCTAATATTTGAAGTTCATATTTTTATGAGTAGTATATCAACTTAAAGGGAAAGAAACCCTCCATTGGACAAAATATTGTCACAAGAATATCAGTTAGCACATCTTAATAAAGAGTCGGTAAGATTTCATTGTTTTTTTATAGCA